TACGAGAAAATATTTGTGGTTCCTATCACAGCAACGTTACCACGGTTCTGGTGAGGATATAGGAAAAGCAGCACGCGGGACATCAAACCTGCTGACTACACATGAGAATCAAATGGGAATAAAATAGGAAATGTTCTGAAGTACACAGCTGTAACCTGGCTTTGCTTGCAAGGAAATTACATCAAAACTATGCCAGAAGCACATTAAGACCTGGAAGTCAAATCCTCAAAGCTTAGGAAAAGCTGGAGTTTGTTCATTTGTACACGCCAAGAGCTTTTATTTACAAAGCCATGTTGCCCTGACATCCCCAGCATTCCTATCTTGTTTAAAAAAAAAAAAAAAAAAGTAGAGAATGACTGATGGAATAATAGTAGATTTTTTTCTTCCCCATCAAGACAATTTAAAAATAGGAAAAATAGAATCTAAGGGGAAAAAAACAGCCCTGTTGTAGTCCTTATTAATTTTTGGGACAGAAGGCTTTCTCTGAGGGTCCAACCAACTGCCAGGCTCAGCCCTGGTACCAGCAGCGCAGCCAGAGCTGATGGAGTTGCCTTTGATGGCCAAGACAGTGAGGTGATGCTCTTCTGAGTCCAAACCTGAGCTTGTTGCAACTCTAAATATCCTGATCACCAAACTAGGACACTGTACAATCCTCCTGTTTTTCAACGTCTAAGCAGTGTGAAAACCAGCAGTTCCTGAGCTTAAAGGGCCTCACTTCGCAGCCCCAGAACGGTTCCCTACAGACAGAAGGAATACAAGGTCTGTAAGAAGGGTCTGTCCAAATACTTAAGATATTTGATTAGGGGAACCAGAAAATTATTTATTGATAGAAACTGATTCTTTCTTCATGAAATGTTCCTTCAACCTAAGACTTAACCGCTTACCTGCCCACATTTCCCTGCTTTCTGCACCCCTTCCTAAAGATTGGGTTTATGTAACTTCGCAGACAACTGGTGAATTCCTTATAATCATCCCCAAACACAAACAGCTTAGGCACAGATTACACAGTTCTCATGGCTACTGCATTTTAGGGTATTTCCTTAATCTAAAACCGGCAGAGTGTTGTGCACAAATAGCCACGATCCGCGGCCAAGAAGAATACAGATTGGCATTCAAACTCCAGACCCAAAGCACAGACAGCAGTTAAAATGAATTGCACGCATAGCTACAGAAAATCCTTCAAGTTACAGCTGAGACCCAAACATGAAAGCACATTTCATCCTCTGGGTCACAATCCAGCAAGGCATGTAAGTATGAGGGTTACATCATGCATCTGCGCAGTCCCACATAATTCAGCTGCACATCGCCAATGCGCGTAAGGACCTTTAAGTGCTTTGCTTTATTTAAACCGCAGCTACCAGAGCACAAGGCACATTACGCTTGAGTTTCTGGGCTTTACAAACTATTTTAAGATATTTTAATCAATTAAAATATTCTTACCTGAACTGAGAACTAAGATGTTAGCGATAAAGAGATTAATGTACTTCTCTAGCTGTGAACTTGTAGCATTTCTCTGAATTTCAACACTGGAATCTGATTACTCAGCTTTGTTTTTCCTTTGCATCCCTCTGAGATGCTCTTGTGCTAGTATGCTGCTCCAAAGTTTACACTCTAAACAGTGGAAGCGTACTTTGTTGGTATTATTTATAGATGAAGGAAGTGTTTATTCTGTTGGTTTGGTCACATACGAACACCTTTTTAGACGAGCTGTTAAAAAATCTGAGCAACTGTTTGATATATTTATAAACACGCTGTTCTGGAGACTCCAGCAGCAAGCTGAAATATCCATTAGTTAATTTTACTGGTATGTGAAAACAACAACAAAAAAAATTAAACGAGCACCCAGTAAAACAAAGGCCTGTTCAGTTTAAACACACAAAGAGAAATGCAAAAAGAAGAAACTTGACAGACATCTTTAACTTCGTAGGTGGTTTAACAGGGAGCACAGTTTGGTAGGTAGAAATTCAGAAAAGCAGCCCTTATAGCGCTGCCTCAACACCTCCAGCACTCAGCTGGATACTACCTCGATCCAGGAACAAGAATCAGTCTGTTCCCTCAGTATGGCATCTCGCTTTTTTCTCTTCTGCCCTGATTACAATTTCCTTGGACTAGATGTTCTCGCAAACCTTAAGATTTAAATGATTTACTCTAGAAACATGATAAATCTAAAATTGTTCCTTCGCAGACAGATAGGAAGAAGAGCAATGTAAAAAAGCCACAAAGAGATAATGTTATCACCACTCTGATCCCTGCTACATCATGGTTCAAATACATGAAGCCTTCTGAAACAACTGTTTTAGGCACCAGCTTTTAAACTACATTTTATGTATGTTCCCTGGATCTTAAAAACACTTTTTTTTTCAGGCATTACCTGTTTTTGATGTAAACTTTAGTTTGCAATTTGTCATTCTTTCAATGAAGAGCATCACAGTTAACTCTATTTAAGTTTTAGAGAAGTTTAATTCTTATCCTAATATTTTTTTAACTGAAATATTGATCGTAAGACTAAAGCTAAAGATATGGGTTAAGATTTCAACAGCAAAACACTATCCAGAAACAGCTGAATTTTCAAAAAGGATAAACGTGACTATAGGTTGCATCATTTAAAAAGAGCTACAGATGACACAGATACACCAACGTTTAAAAAAAAAGTAAAAGTGAGCTATGGTTTAAGAGAAGAGAGGAGAACAATTACAACCACGTGCCACAGTATGAAGAAATGTTGCATGGCTCAGGTGCAGCTCTGCTAAGCCACTATTGTCTTGACTTCAAACATCATTAAAGTCTTTAAAGTGAGTTGAGGTCTGCAGGGACAAACTGAATAGCTATTTTACAGCACTTCCCATTCCAAAACTTGCTTATTTGTAAATAACTCGCAATTATGTAAAGATATTTTGACATTAGCATAGGCTTCAACATGTGAAAACGAAGCCAATATTAATGTCAATATTTTAGTAAGAAATATACCGTTGATAAATGACTTATATGTAGGTCATCCCGTGAAAGCAGCTGCTTTATATTCCCAGTTCCACTAAAAAGGGAAAAGTGCAATGAGATCTTATTGACAGCTGCATTCAAAAACATACCAGTTACATAAGTTTGCAAATTACACTGTGCCAAAGTTAAATATCTAAGCTTTTTAACGATAGTTCTTAAAATGCCCTCTCAGCAAGAATGACTCAACGGCACCGTATAAGCTGCTCTCCAGATAAGAAGCAACCAGCTCGAATTTTATAGAAAAGACTTTTTTTGTGTGCTGCTTTAATTCAAATTGCACCGAGTGAGTTCTGCTTGTTTGGACCTGCAAGCTTCACCAGTCCCTTGGCATTTCCAGCCCTGCTCCTCAGCTCCAACAAAGTATCTCGAGCTCACCTAGACTCGGCGAAGCACTTGGAAAACAGGTATAGTTTTCTGCTGTACCTCAAGGGGAAATATTTACCAGACAACCACCAACCAAAGGACTAAACCTTTTTAACCAGAGCTAGGCCTAGAAAAACACAGCTCTACCAGAAAAGAGCAAGGGTAAAGACCAGCTCTTTCCAGTACAAGCTACGTTTATCAGGAGGTTTTATCAGATGAATATGGCTGAGGAAAACATTAATAACTGGCACAACGCATCAGCAAGACTTTTACTTTTACAGCAGTCCCCTGCACAAGATGTAGGCCCAGAAATACGGGCCTGGAGGGGAAAGCTTTAGGAGCAGCTCTCCCTGCCCCCGTGAGAAATGCTGCTGTACCTACCAAAGTTGTTCCTCAATACCTTTCCTTTGCTCAGACAGGGAAAATGTAAAACTTCCCTGACCCGTGCTTTCCCCACCCCTTCCCTCTGTCTCTGATCTTATTCATAGAAAACCCATGAATAGCATTAAAAGCAAAGCTGTCAGAGAAGAAATGTGGGTAGAACTTGCTCAATTCCTGTTAATTTGGCAATTCGCACAGGGTCCTGAGTAACAGCGGTCGTCTTTAATTGCACTGGTGCTTCACTAATCCTTCGCCAGCCACCTAAGCAGCGCGTGTACAGGCTCAGCAAAGCGTTACTGAGTTAGAACCAGGACTTCACGAAGTGACTCCACTTATTTTGACGTTCCCCATCGCAACCCATGGAAAACGTGTCACCTACCCCTGGGGAAGAGAGCCTCCAACCTACAGCTCTCAGCATCTCTTTGAGAAGAATGAATTCTTGAAAGAATTAAAAATCAAAAATTCCTCGGTATGGCATGTGCAGACCTAAGGTTACCACGCAGGTCATCTGAGCCACCACCACTTTCTCCCTTGACAAAAGGTACAGCTCGATGGCAAAGCAGTTCCTCACAGGTTGGTTTTGCAACCACAGAATTTTGCCACACGCGGGGCACAACCCTGAAACGTTTTAACTGTATGAAATGAAAACAAATATGTATCAGGATAGATGTCGCAGACATCCCTTTGACCTGCAGCCAGCCCCAGAGCTGTGTGGCTACCACAAGGTAACGTAACAGAAGGGTCAGATGGGAGCTCCAGCACACAGCACCGAGCCCAATTACCTCCCACATCTCCGGGCAACTTCTCCACCTGAGGACACCGTCCTCTCACCTCCGCTTTCAATGCCAGATCACAGCTCCCCGCCAACCTTTGCTCCCCGCCGCCGTTCCCAAAGCCTGGCTCCAGCTTCTCCCACCCCACAAGGCGAGGGCGAGCTGTGAGGCAAGGCCAGCACCCCCTGGGTGCCCCGCACCTCGGTGGGGCGGGTGCTTTATAAATCAATAATACCCCTTATGGTGCTGAGGGGGTGTTTTTTTTTATTGTTTTTTTTTTTTTCCCTCGTGCCCCACGGCTCGGGCGAGGAGGCTGTTTATAGCCTGTGGTAAATGAACTCTGGAGCAGGGAGGGGGCGGAGGGGAGCTGCTGCCGCCTCAGCTCGCCTCCTCCCCCTCCTCATCCTCCTCACAGCCCCTCAGGGACCCCCACACCCTCAGAGCCGCCTCAGATCCCCCTCAGGACCCCCCCCAGTCCCCACTTACCCCTCTCCGGGCCGCGGCGGGGACGGCACCGGCGGCTCCCCGAGGTGCGCGGCGGGGAGGAGGAGACGGAGAAAAAAAAGGAGGAGGAGGAGGAGGAGGAGGGAGGAAGGGGCCCGGCCTCGCCTCGCTTCACTCGCAGGCCGAGGGCGGCTGGGTGCGCAGGGGGAGCGCAGCGCTCATGGCGGCCCCGCTGCCCCCGGCCCCTCCCGCTCGGCTCCCCCCCGGCCCCGGCCCCGTGCCCGCGCCCAGCCGCCCCCCGCCGCTGACCGCGCACGCGCGCCGCCTCCCCCCGCTCCGCTCTGCGCATGCGCCGCTCCCCGTTTACCACCCACCCCTCCCTCCCCTCCTAGCGCCTCCCCGCAACGGGGGCCGCCGCCGCCACCGCGCGCGCGCACGCTGCAGGGGAATAGAGGGGGGGAGGCGGGAGCGCGCACGCGGGGTGCCCGGATGTAAAGGGGATAAAGGGGAGGGAGGGGGGGGGGAGGTATTACATCACCCCGCGCCGCGCACAGCGCGCATGCGCGAGCTCCGGGGGAAGACGTCATCAGAGCCCTGAGGGGAGCGGGGAGGAGAGGAGCGGGCGGGAGGGAGGCGGCGGGGTGGGGAGGGGATGGCGGCCGCTGGGAGCGGGTTATCGGCTCCTTGAGAGGCTCCTTAGAGGAGGGGATGGGCTGAGGGGGCAGCCCTGAGGCGATGGAAGCCCTCCTGAGGGGAGGGGAGGCCGCCCGCCGTGAGGGAAGCGGTCCTGAGGGGAGGCCGCGCCGCCCCCCCGGCCCTGAGGCGAAGGGGAGGCCGCGCTCCCTGAGGCGCTGCCCCCACCCGGCTACACCGACCCCCTGAGCCTCCCCCCTCACTGCAAGCCGGTAAAACCGAGCCCTGGATCCCCCGGCTCGTTTCATAACCCCCCCTCCCCCCCATCTCGGCCCTACCTCCTCCGCGGGCGCCTCTCCCCGGCCCTGTCCCATCTTCTGCCTCCGGCGAGGAGTCGGCCGTGGGCCCCCCGGCCCCCGGGAGCAGCTGCCGGCCCTGCCGCCCACCCCCTCCCCTAGCGAGCCATGCGGAGGAGAAAGGGGAGGTGGGATCCCGGCTGGCTCTGGCAGGGAACGCCGTGTGAGGCTGATGCCAGCGAGCCGCGGTTAAACCCCGGGCTGAGGATTTTAAGAGGTGGAGTGGATGTGGGAAGGACTACTTGGAAGGGGAGGGTTAGGGATGCGGGCTGGTGTTTTGAGCCCGTGGAGAAGGAATGGCTGAAGCGGGCGCTTAGCTGAAGGATCAGGGAGGTTGCCTGGAGGGTTTCCATGTTTGACAGGAACCAGGAGCGCACAGCCATATGTGAGGGTTTTTCTACCCTGAATGTTTGGAAAGCCCTCAAATTGCCGGTTAGCTTCCTCTGGCCATTGTAGGTAACAATCAGTGTAGCTTCAACCTGCCCGTGCCAGCGACCGAGGGCAGTTAATTGAGGGCTCTTGTGCAGATAAGACCTAAAAAAACAGAAAAGCCTTACCTAGAGAGGGCTGGAAAAGCTGTAACTGTAACAAAACCTCATGGTTGTAGTGTTTTTTTGTAACAGCTAACTTACTGTGTCTCAGTGTGATACAAAATATCCAGTTCCCATTGCTGACTGTGAGGGAATGGTATGTTTGGACCTGATCTTACTCCATTCATCCGAATCATGTTAGCACGAGCATGAACATCACTCAGCAGCGCTCAATGTTGTTTGAACTATTTCAGGCCTTGAAGTTGCAGATAAATGCACCATGAGTTGTTAAACTAACCTTTAGGGAAGCTTCACTGCAAAATATTCCAAAAATATATTGGAGGTGGGAGCAGAATATATGAAGTCTATTCCTCAAGGGGAGATTTTTGGAAGGTCACAGAGAATTCTCATAACCTTCGTTAATGGTATTTGAAATTTCTTCTTGGTATTCAAAGGCAATTAGTTATAATTTTGATGCAGTTCAGATATGAAAAACTGCATTTTTTTTTCCTCAACACTTCTACAATATACAGTCAGGGTAAAGGTTACACAATTTTTTTCCAGAATGCATGTGCTGATGTACATATACAGTCATGCTTCTTGAACCTCTGCACTTAAACATAAATTCAATAATTTTCATCCTTCTTTTACACTTTAGCTTTAAAGCATTAGGAGAGATTTAATAAATCTCTCAAACTGAGCTGTCTTGGTGGTTAAAGTGGAACAGTCTTGACAGAAAAGCAGTGTGTCATGAGCCTGCTCTACAAACAGGGACAAAACAGATTTAATAAATCTCTCCTAACACTTTGAATTATATGCAATTGCAGATGTTATTGGATTCTATTTGGCGTTACCTGCACCTCAGTTTTTGCATTAAAAAATAAGTGAACAAAAACCTGGCCTAGCTTTTTAGTGATGCCCTAGATTTAAGCCACAGGAATGGAATGACAACAGAGTTTGCTCCTGTTCTTTTTATGTTTTTCTTGGGAAATTGGATGGAGTCAAATTATAACAGTATTTTCTTAAAGTATAACTTGTATTTAGTTTGCTCCTTTTGCCTGGCCAGTTGTACAAGCAATGGTAATCAGTAGTTACAAGAAATTCAAACATCACATTTAAGTAAGATTAAACAGAGTTCTGAGTAACATGTTTCTATGCATATTTGTAGCTGATGAGGCTACATCTCCCAGCATACAACTCTTCGTTTTCCCTTTAGTGAGACATCAAGATTGGGTACAGATGACTGGGACCTGTAATCACTGGAAACATTGGCTCCGCAGCTGAGGAGACAGTAACAAGAATTGTTGTGAAACTCCTTCAGCACTGCATCATCAGGTATGCCTGGGTTATTAAGAAGAATCACTGTTCATTGTTGGGAACAAGGAATTTTGATTATCTTAAGAAAGCATATTTAAAATAACATGCTGCTCCAATGTGTGTTTTAAAGAATATTTTTCTGCTTCAAACCAGCTTTTAAAAACTATTTAGATGGATGTTTCTCCCCAAAATATTTTAAAATATCTATCTAAATAATAGATAATATCCAACTATGTACACTTGATTACTGCAGGCAGGAGGATGATTTTGTCCAATGTATTCCCTAAAGCTGCCACCTTGAGAAAAGTTCCACGCTTTGATCAAGGTTCTCCATGACATCATTTCTTAAAAACCAGAGCAGAGCACTGCAGTTGCTACTGGGACCACGTGGCGATGTAACTGCCTTTTGGGATCCGTTCCCATTGTACTGGGCGTATTCTGTATGAAGCTGCTGTAGTCTGCAGGTTGGTACTGCCACCGTTCCTTTTAATTCTTTTAGTTTTAATGCCAGTTAGAGTTCTGGTTAAACTTTTTGTATTACAAAAACATGAATTATCAGAAGTTTTTATGTTCTTTAAAGAGGGGACAGCTAGTGCAAATATTTATTGTTGTGTTTCATGATTTCAGTTTCTTGATCCCCCAAGTGAAAAAGCTGCACTTCTTTCAGTGTCTCTCATTGTGTTTTGCCCAACAGGTTGGGAAAAGCAGAGAGCCTTATTTTTTCAGCTTCCCTTATGTATCTTCACTCTTTCTCCTTCTGCCTGCCATGAATATTAGGCACAGATGGGAAATAATATATCTGAAGTTACTTTGCAGCCTAAACAGACGGTAGACTGTAGATGTATGTTTTATTTGGAATAGGTTTTGTATCACTTAGTAATACTCATTTAAATAATGGACGTGTAATCAAGCTGTTGTCCAGGCTGCCTTGAAACAGTGGCAGGAGGCTGGCACCTTCAGAGAGCTTTGCTGCTGTGCTTACCCTGGTGTCTGCAGCCAGCTGAGCGAGCTGCCTGCTGGAGGTGACTTTTCCTCTCTGCAGTTTCTCTGACTACAGAAGAAGCTGAGATGACAACCTAGACTGAGTGCTTAACTTTCAGATGGCTCAAATGAATTAATTAGCCATGATGCTCGGAGGTGATCTAATACAAATCTTCATACTAATGTGCTTAGCCTGTAATAACTGCGATCTTGAACTTGCCAGATTTTTGTACTTGGCTTGTGAAGTACCCATGCCCTGCCCCATCTCTTCTCCACTGGGCGCTACCTATTTTTAGAATCCAAAAGCCAGCTGGACGACTATGCTGCAGGCTTTGCATCTTCTGAGAACTATTGCTGCAACACCCTGGTGTGATGACATCTGTAGGTATCTGTTCAGGCAGCTGTGCCATTGGGAACTCCATAAAATGCCAGTGCTGTAGCTATGATTAATAATCACATGATGTTTAAATCATCAAAAGCGCACACCTAGAGTGTATCCTGTATCCAAACTGAATTTATCTGAAAGATGTCACAAAGACTTTGGACTTTTGAAGAACATGGTATGCAAAAGTTCTGCATCCTTGAAGTGCAGCAGTTCTGATATAATTTGCTTTCTGCTGGAGTCTTGAGAAGGGCTAAACAAACTGCCACACTTTGCCTGAAGATTTATGCTGTCTTGATAGTTTCTAAAAACAATGTTCAAACAGCAAGGACATTTTGTAAAAACAAATACTAGTACTTTGCAATCTACGAAATCATTAAGGCATCACAACGTTGTTTTCTGATTGTAGCTTAACAGAAAAAAAGCAATTCTCAGTGATGAGTTTTATTTTTCTGGTGAGAATTTACTGATGGAAGTAACTGTGCAGTTCAGGAAAATCAGCAAAAGCAAAGCAGAGTAACTGTCAATAGAAGGAAAACCCTTCAATATAAAAAAAATTATATAAAGTTTTATTCTAGAATATTGTTACTGTTTTTGTCCCCCTTTTTCTCCAACTCTTCATATTCTATTTGTAAATTTCTTATTTGTCAGTATTCATTAGGCACCATCTTTACACTGACACTCCAAATACAAATAAAAAAGCGTATTTTGAATCTTTCCTATTCCAATTCAGCCATCAGTCAGTGGCTCCCAGCCAGTAAGGCGGGGAGCCACCAAGTCTTGTTGGACTGTGCTGGCTAGGATTATTGTGCTGCCTATGGGATGTGGTTGGGTATCCCAAACAGAGCTTGGCTATGAAAGGCTTGGGAGCTATGGCCTTGTGCAGGAAACCTCTGCAATAAAGATTTTCCAGATTTAATGCTAGCATTGGTCACTACTGTGGCAGCTGACTAAACACATGAGATTCAGAAGTTCAGTAACACTCCCTCTATTTTCCTTTACTCAGAAGAAAATCTTGCTGGAGATGCCAGACTGACAGCTGTGACTCTGAATCTTTGTCCTTCGTTCTTACAAGTTCTCAATGTGCAACGCATTTTCTGTACGTCCTAAATAATGCATTTTTGTTATGCTATGTAAAGGACAGCTTTAAGTGAAGAAACAAGTCATTTAATTAGGGAAGCAAGTTTCATTTTCAGTACAAGCAGCACTGTGCTCTGTTGTCAATAAGAAAGTCATTTTAGAAAAGGATTTTTTTGTATGTGAAATACAGGAAAGGCATCACATGTCCCAGTCTCTCCCGAAGTCCAAAGCCTACACAAAAGAAGATGACAAAAAATCAGGCAGCTCAGGAGGATAAATGCAGTTAGTCAGGAAGGTTCTCAGAGCAAATCATCCTTTGTTTCACATGGCTCCTTCTACCTATAGCAAGATATAGCTATGTAGTATAGAATATAGCTATGAAGTACAGAACAATCAGAATATTTTATCAACTTGGTTTTAGACTATTTCATTCAGTGGATAGTTCTTCTATTTTAAAAATGTGAGGGTGTATTTAAGTTGCTGTTTTCATTTGACATTAGTAGTCCGTGCATGAAGGCCTGTATCTTCACTGAAGTCAGTGACAAAGCTTCCATTGACCTCAGTGTTGCAGGATCAAACCCATCGTCATTAGCATGTTGTAAAAACGGCTGTTGTCCCAGCCAATTTTAGTGGGCTTGCCTACAATTGTCAGTTGTTTAAACTAAAAATTAGCTTAGCAATCACAGCTGAAAGTGCATGTCAGACTGTTGATGTGGAAGAATACTTCATACTGAGTCATTGGGAATCTTATGATGCTCTTAGACTTTTATAATTATTAACACTCAAGCACAGACTCTGAAAATCAATAAAGATGTGAACTTCCAGATGTGGAAGAGATTCATATTCCATAAACTCCATTTGTTCTGTTACTAGTCCTTTTCTTCTTTCAATAGCCATATCTAGTTGCCTTCTTTGTACAACCAAACACAGCTTGCTTTTTGCTAAATTCATTCATACAAATATGGTCATTCAGTTGTCTCCTTTAAGTAGCCTGTTAGCTGAAACACAGCTGAGGAGATCAGGTTTTGTGTATCAATTAGTCACATTAAGCTGGAGATTATTTAAAACCAACATGCCAGAATCAAACGGCCAAGGTCTGGAGATATTGACATCTGAACGCTGCTTAATATTTTGCAAAATAGGTTTATGTAGTACCAAAGATTCTGGAGAATCCAAGTTTGAAAGGAAAATCTGCTTCTGAAGATGGATTTTGTCACTCTTCCCTTTTTAGCTGACAGCATAACTAAGGTTTAAATTTAGTTTGATTACGTAGATGCTGATGTGGTACAATTGTACAAAGTAAGACACTGTTTCATGTTTGCTGGTATAAGGAACACAATAAAAATGGATGTGAGATCAAAGCTAGATATGACGGTTTTCTTAGGAAAGCAAGACAACTTCTAGTAATTTCAATTTTTAACATTTTTATGTCAACCCCTACCCCTGTCACAGTGTTGTGTTTCTCCGGGGATGGAGCAGAACAAAATATTAGCAAAGCAATAGAGATAATTATTAAAACTGCACCTCCATGTTGTGCAGTTCAAACTCAGTTTCAGAAGGAGGAACCTATCAGGGAAGGAAGATCTCATAAGGCAGGATGCATTAGCTTATGTCCTTTTGTAAAAATGTTTCACATCTACTGCAAATAACGTGGTGCAGTTTCATATCAGAGTGTAACTCAAGACATGAACAGCACTTGGAGTTATTCTGAGTCTCCACCCTAAACAGAATGGTATCCTTTCTTCTCAGGAAATTTCAGTTGGTCCAGTGGACTTGGCATCCAACTACTTCTTAAGAGATTTGGCAATGGGATTTCTTTTAGGTATTTGAAATAAGTTTGCTTTCTTGCTCGTTGTCATTCATTGTAGCGTATCGCCTACGAATTTATTTAGATAAATATCTGTGCTATATTTGTGTGTGTGTAAAGGCCTACAACATATTTTTATAAGCACATTTGTTATTATATCTTTGTAGGAATAATCAAAATAATTGGTTTGTAGCTGAAATTTATCATGTCGCATTTCTAATTCCTCCCTTGGGTTGTTTTACTCTGTTTTCTGCTCAAAATAAATAGTATAATCCCTTGTAAGAGATGAGATAAGGAAGATGAAAAAAGCCTGCCTTGCAAAGATGAGAAAAACGATGAGGTAAAAAAGGAAAGGATTGGTGATGCTAATTCACAGCAGTCAGCTGAATACTAGATGGGAGTCATTAGCTCACTCTACAGAGGTCACAAGCTTGCCCTTCTATGACACAAATTTCAATTAATATAGACACTGTCTCAACATGAAAGCAGCAGTCAACCTGAGCTGAACCCAACTTAGGTGAGAGGCTCATTACCAATAGCAGTTAGCAAATAGGAATATTCCTACAAGTGCAAACTGAAAAGCAGAGTGATATACCTTCAGAGCACTGAGCAAACACTTCAATCTGCTACTCATTCTCTAGGTAAAATCTGTTAACACTCAAAGATAGTGGTTGTGGAATGCTTCAAGCTCATCTAGCTGCTACTGAGTAACCCGAAGGAAAAAACAAACAAACAAACCAAAAAAAAAAAACACAACACAACAAACAA